TTAGTGAGGTTCATAGTGAAGGGATAAGACATGACCAGCCAGCCAATGTTCACACTCTTTGAATTTGCCAACTTCACCCTTCGCAATATCGTACGACACTGAAGGAAGAGACAAGCAGGCCTTGTCTCTTTATGCACATCAGTGAGTATGTTGTTTAATATTTTTAAAGAAGCTCGTGATACTTTTTCATCTCAACCAAGACCTTACATAAAAAGAATAATTAATTGAAATAAGTAATTTGGTCAATTAGACCATAAACGGATTAATATTTAATGAGAAAAGAAGTATCACTTCACTAACAGCTCCCCTTGACCACTTCATAAGTCGCTGAGAATCGAATCCAGTTTTCATGACATTTGAAAAATGGCAAAAAAAGGGAAAATTCAAAATGGAGGTTGAGATGGGGAGTTGGTGTCCGGTGGATTAAAGTCACGATAGCTCAAGTGGTTAGACCAGTGGTGTATTGAGCCGAAGGTCATGGGTTCGAATCCCACTCGTGACACTAACTTTTTCATCTCAACCAAGACCTTACACAAAAAGAATAATTAATTGAAATAAGCAATTTGGTCAATTTGACCACTAAACATAAATGGATTAACTTTTTAAAAAGATTCTTACGACACATGTCGCAATCGTATAGGTGTAAACTTATTTTGTCATTCCTTCACGTTTTTTATAAGCCTGAGCGTATCTTGCAAGACAATTATCGCATATCGGTTATGACCTAAAGGTGTGTATCTTACAGCTCTGGTGTGAACAGTAACTAAGAAAATGTTTTATTTTTTGGAACAGTGATTCAGATATATTGAAACAAGATGATTATATTGGCTGCTGTGGAAATAATATAATATTTATACTAACATGCTCACTAACCTGTCTGCGATCAGAGAGAGTTGAATTACTCTTTGTAAATCTCTCCTGGGAAAAGAAAAAAAATTAAGTTAAAATCAGAAATTGGTAGACAAGGTATAAAAAGTAGATGTTATATAAATAAAATTTACCCTCTGAAGGCAACAATCCTCGCCTTAAAACAGCTACGATGCTCCAGCTAACTGCGCACACTGATCAATGCTTGCGGAACTACTTAACGCACTGTTCAACTTGTGAGAATGTATGAAAATATGTAAAAATGGCACGATACCCCCTAAATCAAGTTAAATTCAAAAGTTATTTGTCATATACGACAAAAATTGTATTAAAGTAAGTATCTTACGAAAATATGCAACAGGTCTTGAAGGGCGCGGTATAAAACACTAACTAATACATCTAGGGGATAAAAAAGGCGGTCACCAAGGCCTTCTTCACCGCGACCTGTGTAGATCTATTGTGCTCACTAATGCATCTAACTTAAAAAAAGAGAAAAATATGATTTATAATACTAAGCATAATCACTGCATAAATATTCCAGGAAAATCTATGTAATTTTTAATTTTAAACAGTGGCAATGAAATGTCTGACAGCCAGTAAAGTAGATTTTTGAATCAAGCAATGAAACATATAGCAGTGATTCCGCCAAATTTACTGGCGCAAAAGTCTATTTTTCCGTTAAAATTCTACCCACAATCCTTTGCGCCCTAATCCCTAAACGAGCCGAAAGGGGCTTCTTCCCTCGCAGTTTGTTCCTGTCGTGACGTGCGTTCATTCCGCCGAGAGGAACGTACGTTTTTCATCCGCGCATAAAATCCGAAGTGATAGCTTTAAAACAGTCATTTTCAGTTTAATTTTCTTTTAATTTAAAATCACGGGAGTGAAAGGATCGCAAAAGGTTCGGACGGGGCCTAGCAGGTATCGTGGTAATCTAAGCCGTCATATTATCCATGGCCTTGGTTATGTTGAGGGTTTAGGTTGAGCATAGTTTGGTTCCGAAAAGAAAATTGGCGAGGACAAATACCCCTCATGTATTGGGGTTTTATTTAATTCTAGTGTATTTAATTATTTTCATTATTCACATCAATACACCACAGGAATAGCACCAAACTTTATACCCTGAAGATGTCCCGGGTAAAAGTCGAAACGTCGGCAAAAAAATGAAAAAGGTGTTTTTCTAAACCACCTCATTCTTGCCCGCTCCTCATGAATCCAACAAGCTATTGAGCGACCACACCAGAGGGCGCCATATTTAAAGGCTCTCTCTCTCTCTCCGGACTCAGGTAAAATCATTTAAAAATATAAATTTCAATTTAAACGGCTGTCATCAATCTACCACCCGAGGAGGGTATCGTCACTTTTCTGGCTGCTGGTACCGATGATGTAATAATTAGTTAGGATACCGTACCATAAATTGCGTAGATGACCTGGTAACAACCATAAAAGGGAAATTGAAGTCACTTTGTCAAATTAATGCAAACTGCCCTGATTAATATAGCAAAATGGTATGAGAAAAAGGGTCGAAATATAAACCTTAAAAACTTTTTCATACCCTTCACAAAAAGAAACTCAATATAAAGCCTCCCACTATAAAAGGCGAAGCCTTAACTTTCCCCAAAGAAACAAACTACCATGGTATAACCCTCGACCAAAGGCTCAAATGGGGAAAACATATAGGCAATGTCCTGCATTAAGCCAAGGCCTACTTAAGCCTTGGCCAAATATAATAAACCCCAAAATGGCTGACTGTAATACACCCCAATGGTAAGAGCCTTGGTCACATATGAAACTGTAATCTCATGGAGGCGAAAGGCATTAAGTAAGATGACACAGACCAAATTACAAAGTCTGTAAAGATTAGCGTGTCCCAACATTACAGGGGCATTACGTACCTGCCCCACTACAGCAATGGAAACAGCACTCGACCCTCCTGCCCTTATATGTTTATGTACAAAAGGTGGCTTTCGAGAGTGTCAACTGTCTCCTGAGATTCAAGGAAATAAAATTACATCTAAGGAGCAGCCACCACAAAATTCTAAAAAGAATTAAAATAAACGAGATGGCTACAGTGGTGTCTGACAAAATGAGGTAAAAGCTCAACTTTGTTTCAACCACGACCAGACCATTCGAAGTGGACATAGACAATAGAAACATTTGGAAAAAAAAGGCAGCTTCAAGTGTCAAAAAAGTGTCCTAATATGGAATACAGATTGATCAAAGATGGAACAGGGAGCAGACTTAGGGGTAAAAGTATCAAATTACACCCTAATGAAGCTCCTTGGACTATTCCCAATGATTTTCCAAGCTGAAGTCCACACAATACAACTTTGTGCACAGGAGTTAATAAAGAAAAATATGAAAGGTGCATAGATATACATGCTGTTAGACAGCCAGGCAGCCATAAAGGCACTAAATGTTTTCAACTCCAAACTTCTCTGGGATTGCCTAAATTGCCTAATGGCTGTAGGAAAACAGAATAAGATTACTTTAACTTTGGTTCTGGAGCTTGAAGGTTTAGTAGGAAATGAACAAGTTGACCAACTAGCTAAAAAAGGGGCAACCCTCTCACCCATGGGACAGAACCACAATTAAGTGCATCAGGGTGTGTGCTTAAGTCGGAACTGGAAAAATGGATGGAGAAAGAAAAACTCAAATCATCACAAATCACATACTCCAGGCTTGAGGCAAGCTAAGAGATTTATAAACATCTCAAAATGGAAGGCGATACAACTCTCTTTCAGCAAGTAGGATTTGAGAAAAAATATAGACCTCTACACCGGCCACTGCCTGTTTATAGTACAACCACTTCAGTAGGACTTTTCTCACACCCAAAGATGTTACACCACGAAGAGGCACCAAGGAAAGTGCTCAGTTTTGTAAGGAATAATGAACTTTCCAATGTATGGCTATAAGCAGGGGGGGGGTTCACAATAGACCTTTTTATGTCGTAGTGGAAGAAAGAATTGTTTTCTGCATCAACCCCCCCCCCACATAAACATTTGAAAAAATTATCAGTAGACAACTTAGCAGGCTTTCTTTTCTTTTCACTTGCTTTGAAAAACGTTGATCCATACACATGGAAAGAATTTCAAACCAACATTATTCAGATGGTGTCACCACTTATGATCCATTAATGGGTTTTGTTTCTCAAGTACGTACTATTGAATTGTCTAATTCTGACATCAAACCTCGTATTCCTCCCCCCCCCAATGCTAGGAGCCATAATTTACAGGTTTCATTGGTGAAATCTTCTTCAGTTACCGTAGAAAGAAAAATTTCCTCCACATCTAAAATTTTAGTTGTCTGAACTGCAATGGCTTCCATTTTCTTTTCAACTGTCCTGCTTATTTAAGCCTGTCATTAGATCAGAAATACAATTTTCTACAACAAATACTGGTTCAATTGTTTAGGGTAACATTATTATGTGCTTCATTCGGAAAAGGTGGTTGTGAGCTCTGTAAATGGACAAGTAGCTTTCTGATGGTATTGAAAGAATTATCCTCAAGGACTCAGAAAACTATACTAAATAACTGACCCTTTTGTCCCTTAAGTGAGAATCCTGCTAAAGCACTCTCATATTTGAGCCCAGGCCGTTTCCTCATTGGCACACCACTGCTCTCTTCTCCAGAATATCTTATGTTTATCTTACTCCAAGAATCGATGAAACTGCCTGGAGGGACAACAACAAGTTGTTTCAGTCTTTCATCCGTCTGTCTAGCGATCTGTGTCAATCCTTGTGCCATTGCCAGGGGATTTAGAATAATTGTCTTTAGTAAAATTAGTTGTATTGTAATTGTACAGTAAGTAATATTGTACATATCAACTTTATTTCCAGGAGATAGAAAATTAATGTAATTGTGGTGAGTGGTATGTTTACACCAAAGTTATTGGCATAAAGTTTCATGTTTTTGTTGAAATGCTGCCCACATTCCCTTGTGCCTTAATCCCTAAATGGGCTAGTAAGGAACTGTTTCTCTCATAGCTTGCTCCTGTCATGACTTGCTCTCTTGCTGCTGAGAGCAATCTTTGCTTCCTGCTTTCATGCATAAAATTCAAAGTGTTAGCATTCTTTACTTTAAGAATTAGAAGTTATTTTCAGTTAATTTTCTTTTAATTTAAAATCATGGGAGTGAAATGTTCCAACTGCCGATAGAAAAGGTTTGGACAGAACCTAGCAGGTAACATGGTAATGTAAGCCCTCATATTATCCATGGCCTTGGTTATGTTGAAGGTTTAGGTACTGCATTGCTGGGCTCCAAAAAGAACATTGGCGAGGAGGACTACACGCTAGTTCACTTCAGGTATTAGGGTTTTACTTAATTTAATTATTTTCATTATTAGTTTTGTGACCACACCAGTGCACACCCTATTTAATGGTGCCTTTTGACTTACTATTAGGAAATGCTGGAGTTATAGTTACTTGCTATAATCAGTTCTGATGATGATTTTGGTCGTAAATGCAGACGAGAGTAGATGTTTCAAGACCCAGTAGTTATATATATATATATACACACATTGCAAACACAGGCTTGGAAGCCAAATATGACAAGACAAAAACAAAAACAATATAAATTGATATAAATTATAATTGTAATTTGAAACACAATATAAATTATAATTGTTTTTGCAGAAGGCTTTGTTTTGTTGAAAGTTCAATGGTTTTTGGTGTTATACGACGAAATATTAAAGTTAATTAGAGAAGTTCTGGGCAATTTATCTGATTATTTAATAATTTAAGGAGAAATAAAACAATTTGCAGCAAACTTGTGGAATAAACCAAGTGTACTTAAATGAGAATCCTATGCTGAACACTTTCCAGAGAATTTTATCGATATAGATGTGGTGAGCAATAAAAAAATTCAAGAATGGGGTTCAAATTTTAACTGAATTGGAATAATTGGAAAATAGAAAAACAAAAATTGTAAATCCCAGAGTTTTAGAGCTTTAGCCGTTAAACTTAAAATGTAATTTTTAACATAAGCTGTTGGTCAAATAAGATGACCAGGTCCTTGATAAAATCCTAATACAGTAATTATTAACACACTTTAAACCAGACATAAAATAAATTATATGATATTTCTCTACAAATTATTAAATACTTAGATAAACTAACCAGAACTTCTCCATGCCTAGTTGCAAACAGTAATAATAATAATAATAATAATAATAATAATAACTTTTTTTTGGTAAATATAAATTTATTGATTGTATTTAGTTCTCATACTCTAAATCATACTCCTCTTTTTTGGAAGCTACTGTTACATTTAATACAATTTTTGGTGGTATCCGATAGATAACTTCTGGATTTAATTTTTTGAAGTTATACATTTTTTCTTTTTTTCTTTTGTAGATGGTGTTGAGCTGGCTGGTTCATCGTAGCTGTTTTAAGGCGAGGATTTTTGCTTTCAGAGGGTAATTGTCATTTATATAGTATATACTTTTTTATGCACCTTGTTTACCAATCTCTGATTTTAACTTAATTTGTTTTGTTTCTCCAGGAGAGATTTACAAAGTGTAATTCAACTCTCTCTGATCGCAGTCAGGTTAGTAAGCATGTTAGCATAAATATTCGATTATTTCCACAGCAGGCAATATCTTGATTCAATACTGTCTGCCTGTAATAAATGAAACACACATTTTAATGGAATCACTGATCCAAAAATGAAACATTTTCTGTCTTATCTATTACGGATTTACAGTTAACTTAAAACAGTTACAAGCTACAAAAAAGCTTTCCCAACTAGATAAAATATTTTAAAAATGGGTACATACATCAAATTTCGAATAATATTGTACAAAAAAAATTAATTTTGTGCCAAAGAAGTAGGAGAAAATCCAACTGTATTGCTCATGTTGCTTTTAACTACACAAGTAAGCTGTACACAAATTTCAAGAATAATTTACTTTTAATCACTCACGATTACATTGGAACAAGAGAACCTAACTATTGACTATCATTTGTTTTACAATTCGAAATAACACTAGATATTTCAATTAATTATTCAGAAGGTCAGAATAGTTTCTCTATTTAGTGGATAGATAGCGATTTTGAGTGGCACTACTCTCACATGGATTCCCAGAATAAACATAATAATGCTAACAATACTAATACATAACAATACATCCAACTGAATGTTACTTTTCATTTTTAATTTCTCTTAACAAAAAACATTTAACTGTGTTTTTTGCTTTGAAGAAGTGTGATATTGGTGAGCGTCTACACTTCAGGCCCAAATTTTGACCTGAAGATCATTTTAGATACCTTGTTCCTTTAGTTCTGGAATATATATTTATGATTTTGTGGGATATTTGATCACCAGCTTACATTTTTCTTCTTTTTAAAAATTTTATCTACTTCTACATCTATTGTACTGTATTATGGAATTTTTTGTGAGTTTATACTCCATCCATCCCCCTCTGCACATTGAATTATCCTCTCACAAGCATACAGTTTCTCATAGAATGGAGTGGCACTTGCTAGAATGTTACTCCTTTCTTGTTTATATATATATATATATATATTTTTTATCAATCTTCTAAGGCAGTGTTTGAAGTTTTCCCACTGAGGAGGCATTTTTCCAGTTTATCAGTTGAATTTTGATTTTCTAGGGCTTCCTTAAACAATTGATGTGATGGTCCCAAAGGTCTTTGAAGTGATATCGTACTACTTTATATAAAACATTATATTCAAATTTTTCAGTTTTCAATTTCATCTGCCCTTATCACTTTTCATACCTTTTATGAGTTGTAGCATCTCTCCAGAGAATTTACCTCTTGAAATGTATTTGTATTGTAAATTGACTGTATTTGAGAAAAGGCTTTTTTTCTATTACATTATAGTGCTTTTCCACTTTTTTTCTTCTTTCATCTGTATGATCTATTTTTTATCTACTTTCTTTCACACTGGTAAAGGGGGGAGGGTCCTGTATTTGAAAAGTGACTTGGTCAATGTCCATGCCTTCCTGTCACTACATATTTGTAATGTAACATTTCTGAAGTAGTAGTACAGCATGATTGCTTTTTAATTATTCAAAGTGTTAGCAGATTAATTGTTTTTTATTATTAAAACAGAATATTTTATACTTTTTTAGTGTTTTTTTAGCCTTTCTTTACTTCTCATACCTTAAAAATTATGGAATCCCTCATTTAACTGGGAATAATAGTTATTAATATTTTAAATTAAAAATGACAAAAGAAAAGAACGGTGAAACTTTTTAAATGCATTTATTAATAAACAGAAAGCCACGATATTAAAGTAATTATTGTATTTGCACTTTGCGTTTATTTAAAAATAAATAATCAAAAGAAGTTCTTTTTGTGAGTTCTCTGAGTTTTTCAGGCCTGTCATTACATTCGGCGAGCAACCCTTCAATTAGTTGAAATTGCCTGATTTTATTTTATTTTTTGATGCATACCTTCAAGAAAGTATTCAATTATTTTGTAAGGTGGAAATTCAAACTGCCATTATTTTTTTGGCTTAATTTAAAAGAAGAGAAAAAAATGGTCAATTTAGCCCTGCCCAAAACTAAATTTTAAATCAGTCGGTGCCATGATTTTGACAAGGAAAATTGTGAACACTTATGAAATATGGAATATGTGATATGTTAATTTTAAACGAATAAAAATTAGGTGAAGAAAGGTTGAAATAAATTTGTCGATCTAACAAAAAGTATCGACTGTTGTACATTACGTTAAAAATTTAATATTTCACATTTACGTATGATTTGTCTAGGGAACATACTCGAATTGAATTAATTTAAAAACGAAACATGTTTAACGAAAATTAATGAAATAATGATACTTGGGGTGATTCCAGAAACGAGTTCTCATTAACAAAACCATAAAAATAAAAAAAAATAAAAAATAAAAAAATTATATTTTACCTAAAATTATAGGTACTAGGTGTTATTTTTATGTAAAATTCAAGTCAATTTTAAAATTTTGGCAAAATGAATTATTTTACTAACAAGTTCAACAATGTTAGACATGAGTTTGAGAGTTCTTACGAATGACCGAAGGTGGACACAAAAATTTAAGTATTAAGACTTTAAAAATAATTATTCCTGCCTTTGTTTAGCACATATTTCAAAGTTATAATATATTGTTCATTTTGTATTTTTATGTAGAATAATAAAATAACAAGGTATATTAAATGAAGTTAGATATATAAAAAAGTTGGAGAAACGAAATACGCTTCGAGTGAAGTACAAAAAAAAATCATTTAAAGCACGGTTTAAAGCCGTTAAATACAAATTTTAATCATATTAAAAAAGTATACATTTTGGTTTTGGATTATCTGGGGATATTTTTTTGTCTCCGATGTACAGTGTTTCACTTAAAAATTCAAAATTTCTATCCATTCCACTCAAAGTCAGGGCTATTACAATCGTTTGAAAACAGAATATTTCTATTACGGGCTGTATCATCAAGAATCATAAGTGAGAAAATAGGGATGAATTCAACAAAACTGTTCAAAAGTTTTTTTATAATTCCCGTTTTAATTTATTGACGGAGACCAGGCAGTCCTGGCAGGTATCATCTGCATGGATGGTAAGGATCTTTTCGGGAGGAGGAGGAATGTTTTGCAGTATTTGTATAGGATGGGTCCTAAGATACTTCCTTGTGGTACCTATGCATCTGTGCGATAGGCGGTAGGTAAAAGATCTTAAGTTTCCACTGCATCCCAGAGTGCCATACCCGATCAAAGCCTTGCTTCACATCTAGGAATACGTCGGAGCAGTACTCATTTTGATGAAGAGCGGCAGCGATGGTGTCTACAATGCAATGAGAATGTCTGAATCCACCCGGTGATCAGGATTACCTCCTAGTTTTAAGGTCACAGGAACGAAGGATGAGGAGAAATTGTTTGAGCAGGAGTTTTTCTATCATTTTGCCCATATCGGGAACAGAATAATTGGATGGCAGGATGATGTAAGGTTTCAGGCTTTCATACACATGAGGGAAAATTTCAATTAGGATGGGATGTATGCTGTTGTAAGGACAGAATAGATAAGTTCAGAATTGGAATTAATCGAGTTAAACCGGAGGAATTAAGTGTGAACTTGGATTGTAAGGCTTCCCTTGCATTCATTCAACTTGATCCCTTTTATCCTTAACTTAACTAGACCCATTCGGAGCCGAATTTGTTTAACATATTAGCGGCCTATAGTACTTCTGGATTCCCAATGTTTTTTTTTTCTAAAACATCAAAGCGAAAAGTCGGCCAGTCGATTTCCCCATGTTGTCGAAAGTATAATTATTCCGGATCCGAAGTGCATTAATTTTTATAGATGTTGCCTACCGGATTTTCGGTCTGATATTTATTTAAAATAACTCGATATTAAGGCCAACCCAACATGGCCTATATCGTTTAAATTTGCCATTTTCAAAGTTGACCGTTACAAATAAAATTGATTGAATGTTGACAGATTTTAAACGGGCTTAATCTGTTATAATGATACCTTAAATGGGGTTTAATTATTTCTTATGTTTTCCGCTGGCTTACGAACAGCGGGTTAAATTCAATTTTTGAAAGGGAAATAATTAAAAAGAGAGTCCTGTACAAACAAATACTCCTGCCAAAAAGCAAAGAAATTATAGTCAGGTTAATTGTTAATAATTAACAAATACAAGTAAGCTACTAATAACACCGTAATCTTAAAGTTATGCTCATTATATGCTAAAAGAGAAACGTACACTCGTATTTTGTTCTTTATTTCAAAATATATATGTATTTTTATCGTTCTATAAATCACAACATCCTTCTGCAATGCACTACCCCTTCTAATGGGGGTGAGACCTCGTAGGTGCCCGTTGGGTGGAGAGGTTATCGCGGTAGAGCATATAATAGAGATTATCGTGGTAGAGCATACAATAGAGGTTATCGCGGTAGAGCATATAATAACAAATAGCAAAAACCTACGACCGCAAAGAAAGAAATATAACATCCCGAATGTAATTTGTTAGCGTGAATGTAGGAGGGGCTTCTTAGTTACCCCGAGGAATATAGAGCACTCTGGAGTAGTGTGAATGCTAATCAGACCATCATGTTTCTATGTTTCTTTGTATTTGCGTTTGTTATTTGTCTCATTTTATCCACAATTGATTAGGCCCTGAGGTACAGAGCGGCTAAAAAATAAAGAAAGAAAAGAGAGAGTTGGTCACCAATATATTATAAAACATCATAATTGGCTGGAGAAACAGAAAATGAAATTATTAAGGTTTAAAAGCGAGAAAAATAAAAAGAGCTAAGAAAGAGAGGGAAACAGGATCATAAATTCATGAGTTTTAATAAAAATGATTTAATTTTGATGATTTGAAAAAAATTCAGCAAAACAACGGAAAATAATATACTAATGGAATAAATTAACTAACAATTTATTAACTGTTTTTGATCTTGATAACACATTAAAAGCAAAACTAGGAAAAAAATTGTTAAATTTTTATATAACATCAAAATATATATTTTGAAATAAACAACAAAATACAAGTTCGTTTTGTCTTGAGTGTATTTTACCAGCTAATATTATATTATACAGTTTTTTCTTGTGGTGAAGTGTGATGAACATTTTCATAAAAAGAACAAAATTTAAAATGGGAAAAATACGTTCTTAGTTTATAGTTGGATGAGTGGAAACTAGTTAACTCGGAGTAGAAAAGAATTCTAACAGGCTGAATTAATGAGGGAGGAGAAAATTAGTAATACATAAACAAATATGTTCCTAAATTGTAGTGGTTCCTAAAAGACATGGAAGAAAAAAAAATCCAAAAAATCATTTTCAGATGAGTCCAATATTAATATCAAGACGTTAGTGACGCATTCGCGAAATAACGTTTGATTTTTATTCCATTTTAATTCACCCAACTGTCGAAATCGAGCTATTTAGTGCAGTACATAACCAAATTTATGCTCGCTCGGCTGACGGTGGATACGACGAAAAAACGGGGGATCTGCCAAAATCCGG